CCTGTCTGTCTGTCCTCAGATCCGTCCATGCCTAAGTCAGATAAAGTCAAGATCATCATCGGAGCCTCAGCACTGATTCTGGGTCTGATCTTTGCTCTGGCTGGATTCATCTACTACAGTCGCAGGACCCCAGGTCAGACCAGTTTACACCAGTCTAACATCTGTTCACACCAGTTCAAGACCAGCTCATACCAGTTTACACAAGTCTTGCACCAGTTTATACCAGCACCTACAGTGTTTACCTGTCTGTCTGTTTCTCTGTCTGTCATCAGATCCATTTTTGCTTGAGTCAGAGAAAAACAAGATCGCCATCACAGCCTCAGGACTGACCCTGGATCAGGTCTTATCTCTGGCTAGATTCATCTACTGCAAGAAGGAGGCCCAAGGTCAGTCGAGTTTACACCTTCTAGTCCAGTCTACCCCAGGCTAATAACTGTTTATACCAGTGCACACAGTCCAGCCAGTTCACACCAGTTCAACACCAGTTTATACCAGTCTAATACCAATATATACCACTTTACACCCGTCTAGCGTCACTCTTTTGCAAATTATTGACCAAGAACCACATTATATTGACCATGATTCAGTGTTGAAGTGTAATAAAACTTCCAAGGAGATGAATACTTTTTATAGGCACTGTACACCAGTCTGACACCAGTACGACACCAGTCCGAAACCAGTCCGACACCAGTCCAACACCAGTCTGACACCAACTTTCACAAGTTTAAACACAGTTTAGTCCAGTTTTAGTAGTACCAAAATAATAAATTCAACAATGACTGGTGATGTTGATCCACACCAGTTTACACCAGATCAGTCCAGTTAAAACCAGATCCAGACCAGTTTAAACCAGTTCACACCAGTCCAACAACAATCCTGACCAGTCCAGACCATATCACACCAGTTTACTTCCATTCAGACCATTACAGACATTGGAACCAGTGTCATCAGTGTTTCTTTCTGACTCTGTCTTTGTCTCTTCTTTGTTTTCAAGGACGTATTCTGGGTTCCTACTAACTGAGACAAGATCCTGGTCCTGGTCCTCATCTTGTTCCTGGTTCAGGTCCTGATTCTGTCCCATGACAGAAAAACCAGCTGCTGCTTGAACATGCTTTGTGTTTGCAGCTCAGCAGAAAGTTGATCCTTTCTGGACTGGACTTCTGTGAACCTGGTCCAGGACTGAAGTCTGATACTCAGCTAATCTGGACCTGGTCCCGGACCCCCACAGTGTGAATCCAGTCCTGCTGTCTGATGCAGAAGTGTCATTGTTGTGTGCTGGTCCAGTCCTGGATCAGGTTTAATGTGGTCTCTGCTGCTTCACTGTGTCAAATGGATCATTTCAGCCTTTTGTATCTGCAGACCGACGCCTTTGAAATCACTTGTAACCAGATGTTTGACTGATTTGTGGCTGATTCACATTTATTCTTTTTTTACTGTACGTTTTTCATAAACTGTCACAAAACCTGACCCGTGTCATTCATCCTGGTTATTTACCTGAACAGACATATCGCTCCACTGTCATCCACATCACCAGTTTACACCAGTTTAAAACAGTTTACAGACCAGTTCGTAGTGTTTTAGAGACTTGTTGACTCCAGCTCAAACACTTTTGTACCAGTTTACACCAGTTTACACCAGATTGCACCAGTTTGCATACAGTTTTTAGGCCAGTTTGTGGCAGTTAAGGCTGGTGTGCAGCAGCTCAGACCAGTTTGAAAAGGTCTCCAGGCTTGTTTCCACCAACTTAAACCAGATTATATGAGTTTACACTGGTGTAAAACAGTTAACAGAGCAGTTCACACCTATTAAAACCCTTTTATACCAGTTTACACCAGTTTAAACCTGTGTACACCAGCTTTGCTCAGTTTATACCAGTTTAAAAAAATAAATGTACAGACTAGTTTACCCCTCTTTATACCATTTTATATCAGTTTACACCTTTTAAAACAGCGTAGAGACAAAACAGTTTTACACCAGTCTATACCAGCTTGCCCCGGTTTAATGCTGTTTGCACCATTTTAACCATTATATACCAGTTTACACATCACTGACTTCATCGATAAACCTTTGAGTGCTTCAAAAAAATCTAATTCAAGCATCTTTTACTTTGATTTAATTTCATACTTGACACTCTTCACCTCGTTGGTCAGTTTTACTTGCATTTAAAGGTAGGACTCTGGTAAAGTGAAATATAGAGTATAATCAAAAGCAACTGGACTGAAGATTTTTACTGAAGGGTCAGTTTGTGCCTCTACACGCTACAGATATTTCTTTCCTTTCATGTCACATTTGCTGCTTCTCTCCTGTCTGCTTTGTGTAAACACTGCCTGCAGTTTAGCCCAATTTAACCAAAAAGTCCTCTGAATTTATGTCAAATGACTTTTGGTTACAAATGAGTCACTCCTGAGTTTTTTCATTGCAATGACAAGTTCAGTTTGTTTCACAGAATCTGGTCAAATGATTTCAGCGTTGCAAGCTTAAATTTCCCAACTGAACAATACGTCACAGGTGGTTGCTTAAAGACGCGTCAGAACACTGGAAATCTGTTTTTTCTTGCTCTGATAAATGGTGTACCATTGGCATTTTCTGGAATTTCAGAGGGTTACAAAAAAAAAGTCTTTGGCGTTCAGAAAACGTTCAGGAATCATCTGCTACACACCACATCTTGCAAACCATCCATCTCCAGATTTGTTAACGACGATTTTAGATTTCAGCGCCAACGCCAAATGGCAACAGTGATNTTCTTGTGTTTACACAATTAAGACAGAAAACTGGGAGGATTTTGTATTTTTTCTTGCCAAAGATAAAGGCTGTGTATCTGTGATACACAAGAGAAAAGATCCAAACATCTCTGGATCTTAAATCAAACTGTCCATCACGCTATGACCAAACAAGCACACGACACACTCGTCAGTTTAAATGTATGTCCATTGATCACAATGGACCCTGTTTAGCGTGTGAGGATTATGAAAGTCTTAAATTCCAGAGCTACAGACAGCGGATCAAAATCTACTTTTCATTATTGTCAACTCAGTCATGGCCGGTCAATTCTACGTTGTCATAAAAACAACCCATTTATTTGATTAGGAATGTTCCAGTGATAAAAATGTAAACCTGGAGGGAATCTGGTCCATAAATCACTTAGACTTATACTTGTCGTACAATTTGCAGTTCTTGTGATTACAGGGAGGATTTTGTACATTTTCTTACAAAAGATTTGACTTTCATGTTGGCATTTTCTTGTAGATTTACTTTTGTGCAACAACGTGACGGTATTATTGTTTTTTTTTTTGCTTATGTCCCTGTTTCGGGACTTTGCATGACTTTACAGTTACAGCAGCTCTGGACAGTTTAACTACAACGTTTTGGAGAAACAGCAGATTCAAGACTCAACATACACTGTTTTCTTCACTGGGCACAGTCGACGTCACTTTCACCATCAAAATGTTCACATTTTTTGCAGCTCTTCTTCCAGAACATGGCAGCTGCAGTTTCGCCTGCAGCGCCCCCTGGTGTACAGAAGCTTTGAATGTTTTCTCAAGAATCTGCTGTCTGATCAAAACTAAAGTCTGCATCACATCATGACGTTCTCAAAATTATCAGTAACGTCCATAAACTATAACCAGAAATGTGTGAAATCAGAAGTTCAGAAGTTGTTGTTTTGTCATGACTTCAGTTGCTGTTGTGATGTTCAGCGGAGATTTATGTTGCTAAAATAAAGTGAATATTTTAACCTCAGAAATAAAACCAATGTGCAGCCTGTATGTCAGGTCCAGCGGTGAAATTATGAATAAGACCTAACCGACCGCCTCAAATCCTCCCGGCTCGTATTTACAACCTAATAATAATTCTAAAGTGGAAACTCATATAAATATCTCTGTGCTGATGTGGGTTGAAAGTTTCTGTGTCATCTTGCTGGCAATGAAGTCTCGAAACAGCACAACAGTTTCAGCTCATAACATGTCGGGTAGGGTGATTCAGTCAGAGGTAGGTTGTTGTCATACGGCATGCTTAGAGGAGTCAGAGCCGTCAGTCATACATCTGTGAAGAGATCTAAAGTCAGTAAAAACATACGACTGACATTCTGAATCTGTGAAACCACTTGAAGTTCTTCATCACACAGTGAAATCAAAACTAGAGCAGCTGCTTCCTTCTGCAGCGGTGATTAGTTCCTCAGTTTTAGGAACGAGACGTTAAAATGAACACTTTTGTTTATCTTGTGACGTGTTACAGTTAAAATGATTCACAGAGAAAATAACTAAAATCTTGTAACTCATTGTTTCATCGTTTCTGTTTGATACTTTCTGTGAGACTGTTGTTCATTTACGACCACGTCTCTGAATGTATTTGAGTCGGGGTTTGTTCAATCGTGACAGTAAACCTGAGTGAATAAGAATGTTTTCCGGAAAGCCAACATGAGAAAGTTTTGGCTTTGTGCCTCAAAAATAAAAAAAATAAGTGAATAAAGACTTGTTCCAAATCATCAGTAACTGTCA